ATCTGCCATTTCAATTCTGAATTCTATCTATAAATTACATTTGAAAGTGTATATCTAGTTGATATATTGGAAGGTCACATTTTTTTCGGTTTGAGTCTGCTAAGAAGAATATATTTGTTGGGTAAATTTCTGTGTGCAAAATGTGTCCAAATGTAAAAAATATTATATTTCTCTTAATGATAATAACCAATTCTCACAATCGTCTCAAACAAACCCCAAAATACTAATGTTTTTCTCAAATCGTCAGGTCAAGGTGTCAAAACGTTAACCTTAAAGTGAACTTGTCAGCTCAAAGTTCAAGATCGATGAAATTGACTTATATTAGATTATAATACATTTACCTCAGCTTTATTCAAATTAGCTTCATGTTTACTTAAGAAATTTGCAACTAACCGAAGCATATCATCATACAGACATCGTAACCTATAATTTTTAACAAGGTCACATTCATGTATCTTAGAAGTAGTGAACTTATAAAATATGAATTAAACTACAAGTATATAACATGTGAATAATATTTTTAGTCAAAATATCTTAAAGTCATTATCCTTTGCTTATAATTCTTACTGCCAAATATCTTCTTCACCCTTCAACTTAATAATGAGATGTAATAGTTTTATATTTTTTGTCGTGAATTAAGAAAATCTATCATTCTAAGATTATGTGTAAGAAACTGTGAGATACCTTAACATAATTAACAAAATAATATTTTACTATTTTTACGTATATTATATTTTAGTCAATTTGATTTAAATACTCCACATAGAGCACTACATTATGTAACCGCATGACACAATTGCTTGACATTAAGTATTCTAAGGAATTCGTGTTATTTGCAACAAAATTTGACCCGGATGTTTTAGATGCTGAATGACATAATAATATTTGTGATGGGGTTATTGGGATCGTGTTACCTAGAACACGAATCCAACTAATCAGGATTTTATATAGCTGGTACTCCGCGAAATCTATTGAGGTAGAGCGTATCAAAGTAAATGGCCTGAGGTAGGCACATAGTGCTATGAAAGAGAGCATTCACTGATTTCCGAGCACTTCGCCGGCTGAGAAAGAAGGGTGTTTGCGCTAGGACAATCTCGCTAAAATTGCAAGAACCTGCGCATAGTATGACGGATATCAGAAGCAATCCTATGGAAACTTCGTAGGAAACCATTTGAGCGGCAGATCGTAATGCTCCCAAAAAAGCATACTTGGAGTTACTTGCCCAGCTTGAGACCGAAGATGTAGGACGTTAGTTCTACATAACATTTTTTTTCTTTTTGTAACATTTCATGAATTTTTTTTTTCTTGGTCCGTTCTTTATCTTTGCCAGAGTGTAATAATGATAGCATAGCAATCTCTTCAGATGATGCTCTCTCGATGCTAAGATAAAAGTTGTCCCTCCATGCTCTATTAGTCGATCAAGATAAATTGGATTTATTAGGTGGAACAATAGATAATCTCATCGTGATACTATTGGGTCTAGCTCCATGATACCCATATGGTTTCATCTTTGCGTGATGAGATGTTCCGTCTTTTCTCTATATTACTTGCTGCCCTGTTCTCCAAACACAAGTATTTTTACTGTTTCTTTCTAAATGTCTTGCCAGCTATCCGTGTATTCGACAAATTTGAGAAAGTTCAATAGAAGGTGGACTTTGGGCTGTTCTATATTTCGAGGTCCGAAGGTCGAGACCAGCGGGAGAGGCTTTTGCGTCCTCGAGGTAAAAGTATGTTTCATAAAACACCTGTATAAGTTTTGATAATCTCCTCCTGTTAGTATTTTATTGGGAGTGATTTGATTACATCAGACGAAAGAGAATGACATCTGATTGCTGTTCAGATTGGACGGAAACATTATAAAGTCATTCCCCTGGATTCGCTCGTCAGACTTAAGAATTCTTTATCTACCCGCTTTTGAGAGAAATTTCCTCATTGAAAAGAAGACTGTGAAGCTCTAAACTATTTCAGATATTCAAGGGGAATAATTTTATTAAGGCTGATCAACCCATTGGCATACTGAGAGAGATATGAAGGATCTGGAGATAATTACGCCTGTGTCATATCAGAAATCCATTATGATATATATTCTCCTCTTTATTATAGATTATCTGGTTATGTATTAGGGAAGGGGTTTCACTTATTCAATACCAAATAAAATAAGATCACCAGGTATAAATGAATACATTGAATTTAAACTGCATTTCCAAAAATTAATTGAAAGAAACATGTGACAAATTTTACTTATTTCACATGGAGTAGATAGACAATTTTATAGATATGAAATTACTAGTATTGATTTTGGAATAAAGATCAATAAGTAGAGTTATTAAATATGTATGAAGCATGGATACCAAATACTTGCAAGATATGGACAGAAGTAACTGTGTAACCACCTCTAGGTAAGGCTCTAAGTAATTGGATAAAGCTAAACATTATTGTTTTTTCCCTGAAATAATCATTACATCTGATAATACCAACTCATAGGACAACTTATAATTTAAACCGTCTCTATAGCCAAGCTCCATTCCTTCCTATTCATATTCAAACTCTGAACTATAATCTTTATCTCTTCTATATAAAAAGATATAAAGTGCATATCTTCATTAATCATATCTTAGTTAACTTTTCTAACCATGGTTCTCACTAATTGAAATGAATCTAACATAAAGTTAAACTCACTATAATAAATCAAATCTGTAAAATTATTCCAGCCGGAATAAAGATTCCAATGAAATGTCATGTCATCTTTACACATATTTCGTTTCTTAGGAATTAACTAGTTTAAAGATTGGTTTCTAACAAGGACATATATCGTAGCTCGATAGGCATTTATCTTTATTTGAATAGCTCCTCTTTACTTCATTACCAATAGCCGCCCCACAGTAGCAAAGATAATTTCCACGAAATTCGCACCGAGAATCAACCTGTCTAACAATAAAGCATTGTTTGCAATATAAACTATTCAATATGTATTATTGAACAGAAGATTACTTCTTTTCTTTTCTTTCCTTTAAGTTTTATGTTCCTGATGGAGGAGTTTGTAACATCTTGAAAGTATGGCAATATTATTGGTAATATAAAGAATTGAAAATGTCTACATTAAGACAAGAGAGCTGGTTGCATCTTTGACTCTTGGTCAAACATGTTTGCTCTGCATTCAAGAAATGCCATGAGGTTGCAGTCTACCACATCTGTTAGGTTCTACTAGGAGCTTCTACGAGTTATAGACGCGAGTGCAGGCCCATAGAACGACATATTCTTCTGAAGTCAAAAAGCATGTCAAAAGAATCTGTATGGTCTACTAGCGTCAAATCTGAGGTGAGTGTACTTCTGTACCCACATGTAAATGAAGCATGAAATACAGGGTTGAAATTTATTTCCCTTTTCTCGGAAAACTATCAAGAGAAAGAAAGCAAGTCCAGTCATATATTGTAGAGATAAATTGCTCATCGTGAGAGAACTATCCCCCCACTTGAAGACCTCAATGTAAACTGCTCGATCCATACACAAGAATGTGAGTTACTTCCCATATTACTGCGAAGGCCCGAGCACAATCAGAGCATATTCCAGATGCAGAGCTATGCTACCGATCAGCTCGCCCGGTCTTCCTTTCCGAAACACACCTGCGTGGAATTCAGCGAATAAAAAATTCGCAGAACATCAATCGGGTAGGTGTGTCACACTATCCCAAGAGCCGCTGGAACATGGAAGACGCAAATGTTGGGATCCAGAACCGCACAAGCATTCGAACTCCACCGCGAGCCGGGCCGGCAGATCTCCGGGACAGCGAGGATATGGTTCACAGAGAAGATTCGCAGCCTTCATCGCGCTCGTCCCGTCGCACAGGAGCTGTCGACGTCGAGCACGCTCCGAGTTCGAACTGCGCTCTGTGATGAGTGCTTTTTGAATGTGCCTGCAGCGGATATGCAGCTCGTGCAACTTTATCGGAAGACCGAAGCTGCGATGGAAGGTTGTCAACGGAGTAGGTGCCTACTGCGACGGAGATGCCGCAGAAACCATCTGTCCGTCGCCAGGAAGCGAGATGGCGCGCTCAGGTCGCCAGAACGCGGTCGACCACGTACATAGACTTAGGGCTCAGGGCCGCAGTCCGCTCGAACGCTCACCGCGTCCCTCACCTGCGACCTGGAGCAAGATGATTGGCACCTCAGTGGAACCAAAGCGTCCAGCACATGCCACGAAGTCATCATGGCGCCCACCAACTCGGTCGAGTGAGAGCTACATCCTTTCAGCTCTCGCGGTACAGTTCATGCAAAAAGAAGGCTTGGGAATATCTGGCCTCTGGAAAAGCGCCTTATCAACAAGCCAGAAATAAGACTAGCCTCGCCCCGCGCGACCTCGTCTGACGATGTAGTCAAACAATTGGATCTAGCCTTTCGCTGCACTCCACCCTTAGCTGTGCTGTACCGGACCGCGGTGGATATCGAGCGATTTGCTTTCTTTTGTCCGCTTGCATAATTGTACACAGCTCAACGGAAAAGTGGATTCGGAATTTCGTCCCATGCACCAGGCCCTCTATGTACGGACCTCCTGGGGGCTTTTTCTTTATTGTGAATAATTCCCGATCCGGTTCGAAGTCGAGTCCAGCTGGAGTCCTACGTGGAGAGCAGCGCGGCGAAGACAGTGGAATCGGTCGCCGGGTGGGGCGGGGGCCGTGGATTCCGCTATGGTCGTCGCCATTCCCGGCGAGCGCTCGCACAATCTCGCCGCATCGGGCGAAGCGGGGCGGGTTTAGTCGGGGGAGGTGCCGTCCAAGTTTGCCGGACTGATAAACCGAAGACCGATCGCAGTGCGCGAGTTTGGCGGCGCTCGTAATTCCGCCCAACTGGCACCGTGCGGGTTTTGAAATGGCTCTCGATCGTCGACGAACGGTGCGCGGTGAATTACTACACCCTCGCCACGTGTACCCTACACGGCCCGGCCGGGACCCGAAGGTAGACCGCGAGTTTGCAAGCATTCCGCCGAACGCGAAAGGCGAAAGGCCCGCAAAGAAGGGCGAATGATCGCGCTCGAGAGAAGCGACAAAGGGCCGAAATGTGCAGCGAAAGGAATCGAGAGCTCGGAGCTGCTAGAGTAAAAGCGAAGGAGGTCTGAGAGGCTCACGGGGATTGCTTGCACAGCTGCTCGGAGGAGGAGGCCCCAGAGACATCCGCAGAGAAGTGGCGAAGCGACCAAGGCGATAGCTCTGCATTGTTTAGGTCCGGAGGGTGGTAGTGAGCAGGGCAGAGGAGAGCAAAGTGCACTCGAGCGCGTGGCGCACGTCGATCTGTCTCGACAGGGTTGTGGTTCATTAATTCATTTTGCGAGAGCAGCGATGGCCGAAATGATGCAAGCTGTACAGTATTCTAGCTATGGCGGAGCGCATGCGGCTCTTCAGGTAACATGACGACCTCATCTCCATCATTATTCTTTTCGTCGTCGTCAGGTTTCCAGGGTTTTTGATCGTCGGGAATCGATGTAATTCCTGTACTATCGCTGAGCACTACTTCTTCCGGTGTGTGGACGGAAGACTGGGTACTTTTTTTCGAGATGTGACGAGAAGCTGCGCTCTGCTGCGGAAATGGACTCTTTCTCTGTCTTGGATTTACGCGCCTGTACGTCGTCCTACTCCTTCATCCCAGCCCTGCGTCGGGGAACTGTTACTTCGCCGCCGACGTTTGCACTCACTGTGGAGCTGATTTCTTCTGTGGCTGATTCAGCCCTTCCGCTTGGCAGAGATGCGCTTCTTAAACTCTGGATTAACCAGCGACATTGTTGAGAACTGTGACGTCAAGGCAGAAGTATTTCGACCGAAACCCGAACGGGCTGCTTCACATGCCTTTTTCACAGTCTTGAGAGTAGTTGGATTTCCTTCTTTTTGACGTCGATGCGCATATGTGAGTAGGACGAGATGCTGTGCAGCTGGAATCCTTTTTTGTCCAGAGGTATCATGAGCCATGTGGAAAGGAGTGTTGATATCGTAGAACTATCAGGAATCTCGATTATCGAGGGACGAAGTCGTGCGTTTTTGTTACTTCTCGCACTTCGCTCTTTTTCACAACTGATACGGGGAGCACCCAGTTTTAGGCTCCGACCGGCGCCGCCAACTAGACAGTTCCGGGAATCTGCGGTGTGTAGATTGATCGCGCTTCGCATTATGTGAAAAGATCCTTCAGAGACAAGAAGACACGATGATCGTTCCGACTACTGCCCGACCCTGCTTCATAGGATCAGCTCACTAATCGGGACCCGAGAATACCTCGTGGCGAGAGGGTAGTTGACATTCTGAGAAATCATTATTATTTCGAATCATGCGGTTCCAATGGTTGTAAATGTCATGCGTCCACCGGTTTTGTGCAGCACAAGGAAATCCCGATCCCTGTACCGAAGAAGGGAGAGATTTTGGTCAAGGTCGAAGCAGCCTCTGTGAATCCCGTCGACTGGAAAATGCAGGGTGGAGTGATGCGTCCCATGCTCCCAGCGAAATTTCCTCACACACCAGGTGTGTATCTCGACAGCCATGCCGAGTTTATTCGTATTTACATTACAGAAGTCAGATCGAACCTGTGCTCAAACTTCTGACATCCTACTTCGAATGTGGGCAGGCACGGACATCGCAGGGGAGGTCGTGAAAGTTGGATCTGAAGTCAAGGACTTTGCACCTGGTGACAAGGTCGTAGCTTGGCTTGAATTGAAGGTACTTAAAGCCTCACGAATCTTCTGCTTGTACTTGTAGAATATTTCGGTTTCCACCAGCTCTTGTCCACTTGAAATGCTTTAATTTGTCCCAAAACCAACATTTTCGTCGTAAATAAATGTACACTCGTGCTCCGCAGAAGCGCTTGCCTTGTCAACGTATCAATCACCTTGACTTCTAGCCTTGTGGAAGCCAGACCCAGATTTTCCTGGTTCCTCATAGGGGGTGAGTCTGTCTTGCCTCTTCAGAGTTTTGGATGTTCTCACAAAGAGAACTAACTGGCGGTTCTAAATGTTCTTCACTATAACTGTTTTGTCGTGTGCAGCATGGAGGTGCAATGGCGCAGTACGCCGTCGCCAACCCGAAAACGACTGTCGTGAGGCCTCCTGAAGTGTCGGCCGTTGAAGCTGCGTGCCTTCCTGTGGCAGCCCTAACCGCACTGCAAGCTTTGACAAGCGGTGGCATGAATTTTGACGGAAGCTACAGCGGAAACGTTCTTGTTACCGGGGCTTCTGGTGGTGTTGGAACCTACGCTGTCCAGGTGAGAAATACGTCCAGCAAGAATTCTTGTCAGTCAGCAATCGCTTGTGGAAATTCAGCGATTGACTATTCATAATTGCGTAACTATTCATAATTGCGATCTCGAAACCTATCACCTAGTGAAACCTGGTACAAGAGAGAAAGTATTCTGGTGCCGAGTTGGTAGATCGAAATATAAGTTTGGCCCCTTGAGCGGCCGAACCTGACAGGGCGAGAAGTGATGTTTCTGTTGTTATCGTGATTGACGAAGCCTGATGGATCGGTCTGCCTGTGTGAAATCTGCAGCTTGGGAAAATTGCTGGTGCCCATGTGACCGCGACTTGTGGAGAGCGAAACATCGAGCTGATCAAGTTTTTAGGAGCTGATGAAGTATTGGACTACAAGACGCCTGAGGGCAAGAAGCTCATTAGCCCGTCTGGAAAGAAGTATGATCTCGTGGTCAATGCTGCCGCCAGCGCAGTCACTTTCTCCGACATGCAGCCACAGTTAGCTCCCAAGGGTGTCGTTTTCGAACTGACTCCTAGCCCCAAAACCTTTTTGACTTCTGTTATTAAGAGGGTGTCTATGTCGAAGCAAAAGTACAACCAGCTCATGCTAAATGTGGAGGCACGCAACCTAGAAATGCTGGTCGGTTTCGTTAAAGAAGGAAAATTGCACGCCGTAATAGATTCTAAGTTCCCGTTGGCCAAAGTTGAGGAGGCATGGAAGAAAAGCAAGGAGGGGCACGCCGTCGGTAAAATCGTCATCACTGTTACTGAGGAATAGATCCAAGTCACATTATTTACGAATTCGTCAGTCCGCTTTGATTTAAAAAATTGATAAAATGTCTATGTACAGATTTTTAACTAGCCTAGAATTTTGTCGAGGGTTTAGGTTAGGGTTTAGGCTTTGCGAACTTTCTTCGTCTTACGGGAGATTCTGGTTCGGGTACCCTTTCGTTGGGATTACAAGTATCAAGACCACCTATCAGTTGTTTATGTCTATGTGCTGCGTTGCTCAGTGGTGGAACTGACTCGAAAGTTTTGTACAGTCGTTGTCGTTGTAATAAATGATGGACCATGCCCTTTACATGGATTAGTTGCCAGATTGCTGTTTTCGATGATTCCATCTTTCACTCTGGAATTTTGTACTCGTCGTTGATTTGTTGCGAGGGCACGTCTACAAAGCTTAGAAAGGTGATGTGCAATTTGTTCTTTCTAGTGATGCTCATGCACTCCTGTCTTCTCTTCTGTAGAATGAGGTGAACAGAATTTGAGGCTTCTTCTGATTTGCAATATTTATGTTGTAGATCGCTCAAGCTTGCCTGAAACACCTCTGTTACTGCCCGGCATGTGTCCACAAGAGATATGTCCCATCATGTTTATCTACTTAAAACGTGAGCTATTGTACCAGTTGATGCGCTGTTGCCTTTCACAATTATGGTATTACCAATCGATTACGGATGAGTTTGAAGGATTTTGCGCGTTGCGCATGAACCGGAGATAGTCACTCAGAGGCAACATCGAAGGCACATGAAATGCACGCGAAACTTCAAGCCTGCAGAAGCACGATCCACCCTCAGCCGTGAGAAGGAATCGACGTCCACGTGGCGCATGAAACCCCCGAGGTCCTCCATCCTGTTCCGCAGGTGAGATACGAAACAGACTCGCAGCTCGGCCGAGAAGGCGTGCGTCCGCCCTTTGCGGCTGTAACGTGCGAGATGCGACCGTTTGGGTGTGAAGTGATGCCTCGGCCTGGGACGGAGGTTCAAATCCAACCCCACGGGGTTCGAAGGCACCCTCCGAAGGAAGGGCCGGCCCAAAAGCTCCGCTGATTCCTCTTCGGACATCGTCCCCGATGGACTCGATCGCTCGCTCGAGGCAGAGTGCAGACATGACGTGGGTCATGTGATGTGCCCGGCCGGCACTCTAGTGCGCTGAATTGAGACATCATGAAGTCGAGCGGCAAGCGCGACTCGGAGAGGAGGCACAGGAGCCGATCGCCAATCGTGCGCCGCAAGTGGCGAAGGAAGTATACTCTCAGCAGGAGGAAGGTCCGATGTTCGAATCGGCGGAAACGCTATGGACATAAATCCTCGTCGTCGACCCAGCGCAGACGCAAGGTGTTGTGGTTTAAGGCAAAACACCGAGCATTTCGATTTGCCAGTCGAGCCGCTCGGTGTCGATTTAGGGCTAAAGTGAAGCGAAGCAAGCGTCGTTCGCTCTTCGGTTTAGCTCGTTGTTCGGTCGCGAGGAAGAGATCGCCTCCGCGACCTGCCAAACGGCAGGCCTGCGGCGGCGGCAGCAGCAGCAGCAGCAGCAGCAGGAAGGTCGTGCGCAGAGCCAATGACAAAGTCAGACAATACGATAATCAAGTCGTTCTGACCAACTGCCTGACCTACGTCAAGAGCTTGCCATCGGATCTACTACATTGCACAATCACGAGCCCTCCTCTTCGGTCGAATCTTACCACCGACCAGAAATCTGAAGCGTGGGCGGCATACGAAAAATCGCAAGTTGCCCTACTCGATGAACTTTACCGAGTGACCAAACCGGGCGGGCACCTGTTTTACGCTCACAAAGTGCAACATTGTGGAAACAAGATCTTCCACCCCTCGTCGTGGATCACCCAGTCCTCGTGGATCGTGCGGCAGGAAATTGTTTGGGACAAAGGCAACAAACCCAGCAGGAGTCTCCAAAGGTTTTGGCCTAAGGACGAGCGAATATATTGGCTCCGCAAAGAAACTGGGCCCAATTTCAGTTTGCACTGGTCCACATTCAGGTGGGGAAATGTGTGGATGTATGGCGATTCTCATCCCGGTCGTGAGTTCCCCATTTACCTCGCCTTGGCAATTCTTCATGCCCTGAAGCTGCGGAGGAATTCGCTGGTCTTCGATCCGTACGGGCGGTCAGGTACCACAGCCAAGGCTTGTCAAGCGATGAAGCTGCGCTACTTGACGACCGAAGCGGACCAGAAGAAGGTCGACGCGATCCGCGATCGTCTCAAGACTACCTCGAAAGAAGACATGTATTGGACTTCGATGGTTGCCAAGCAAGTGGCCAGACGGACTCTGGACCTCCGATTCGCGCCTAAACCGTTCCAACCGACGTAATTCCGGCATCGCTTGTCTCCAGATCTGTGAATCGAGAGGCATCGGGTCGCGCGGCGCTGCCTTCACGGCTCTACATCGACGTCCGGACGATTTCATAGCCGACAGCCTTCGGACCCGACTCCTACTCCGCAGAAAAATCTCTTTCCGCAACGCAGCAGCAGAAGACGGAGCTCTCTATCCACGACTCTTGAAGCAGCGACCGGCGACGGATCGAGTGACCGACTTCACCATTCGAATGAGAAGTCGGATATTTATCGTCATAAAAATCCGAGCGGCTCGGATTTTTCATAATGATTGGGAAGCTCGTTGGTTCTTTCGGGGACTTCGATATACCGCTGAAAAGTACTTTTTCAGCACCATCTCAGGAATTGCGATACGGTAGTTCACATCTTCTAGCAGTAGAGGAAATGCAGCTTTGCCCCTAATTTGAGCCATTATGCGCGCAGTCCAGAGTTTGAACCATGCATTTGAAGAAGGTTCCTGTAGAACAAAACCTTCGCACATTCCACACGATCGAAACGAAACTCCGAACTTTCCCACTGGCCCCATTTTTAATTGTAGAGGAGATATTAGAGCACGGAGTACCATGTCTACATGGCAACTGACCACAAGCATGGAGCCCTGAGATGTCACTGATATCCCTAGATTAACTACCAGAAATAGTTATCACTCAAATTGGTCGTTGTGTGTTGACGAACATGGAAGAATATGTAATTAAATTCAAGAGAGTATCCTCAACTAGTTGAGAACGAGGGCAACGCAACGCAGTCCAATGCAACTAAAGCTAAATCTGACAAACTTCACATTCTATGGAACTAAAGGACGCTCGCCTGGACATTGTGCTGCCTGGGGTACGTCTCTTACAGCGCTCCATGCTTGTCAGGAGCGACATGCGGATGTCATATCTCTCATGTTTGTTATCCAGCTCACAGTCTCGTTAACGCCATCGCACACGTCCTGAATTCAAATGCCTCGGAATTGTCCCTCTCCTCCGCTGATTTTTGCTTATCCTCACAAAATACCGCGTATCGTTCAATTTTAATCTCGCCTTTTCCTTTCCGAATCTTGCCATTTTGGCCAACTCTTTGCAGTCGCACATAGTTAAGAAATGTTCAACGTCCTGAATTCAAATGCCTCGGAATTGTCCCTCTCCTCCGCTGATTTTTGCTTATCCTCACAAAATACCGCGTATTGTTCAATTTTAATCTCGCCTTTTCCTTTCCGAATCTTGCCATTTTGGCCAACTCTTTGCAGTCGCACAGAGTTAAGAAATGTTCAACATATGATATCATCATCGTTCTGGGACGACCTCAAGCTCAAATCTGCATATAGGAAGACATCAGCAGCTCCGAAACTGAAATATCGTGACTGATTTTCAGCCGAGCCCTATTGACATCAAGGCTTGACGCTCTCGCAACAAGCCTTGATGTCCGTTGCAAGGACCACTTTACGTAATCCGACGAGGTACAACATTCGACACTCAAGAACAATGAGCCACAACAGGCTGCCAAGTTTGTGTGTTCACTTGGTAATTGTACGAGACGACGGGGTAGAGATGAGAGAGTAGAGTCTGGTCTCTTTGGTTCTCAATTTGGATACCAATGGTACTGAGCTCAACACTAGGGGATAAAGGTTCAATGAGATGTTCATGAAATTTCAAATCCGATAATAGGTGTGATCTCTTTAGTCTCAATATGTTTTTTTTGTGTTGTTTCTATAAATAAGAAGATTCATTTCCGTTCCTTGTAGTTTAGGTCTAAAGTGATGTTGAGGTTGTACAAATTATATATATATATATATATGCTGCAGCTTCGCTTCCCACTATGTAGCCTAGTGCGGTATATGGTAAGCCTCGGGTTTGATCTATTAAATAGATCAAACCCGAGGAACCCAAAGTTCAAATTGCCTGAAAACACAATACAACCTAAACATTCACGTCCCATGGAAAAGATTGTAAAGATCAACCCTTAGCTGGTGACATCATGTTTGATGTATTATCGATTTGTCCAAATAAGGTTTCATATGAGAGTGATACACAAAGATTATATTATTTACCACTACTACACACAATTTCCACAATTAGTTTGAAGTTGGATATTGCGCCCAATTCTATAGAACGATTTTTTTTTTCTTACAACTAAATTGATTAGCAAGACATCTCATAGATGAACGAACTTGGTTTTCTATAATTATTTGCATAGATACTATTTACATCAGATTCAAATTACTTTTCTACCTTTGATGTAAATAGAATATATGATGCATGTCTTTGTTGAGAAGAGATTCAAGAGATACCTACATCTTTGTCAAGTTTATATGGAGAAGCAAATCTGTTATGAATGGTGAAAACCACATTCATCATAATCTTGCAACTTTTTCTATCTTTGAACTCTATGATTGCAGATAGAAATATTTGAAATGCAATGTGTTTTAATGAATATATTTTAAATCAAAATTATTATCATATACAACACGCGTTGATAATCCGCCTACGCGTGATATAGTTTTAAAGGCAGAAATATTCTAGAAGTTGAACGTTAATAATCAAAATCTCCAAGAAGTCACATTTGATGATGGGTTTTGTTATTTGAAACTATTAGCAACAAATCTGATCATCGCAAAATTCTTGAGGCAAAATCGAATTAATTAAATATTTTGATCCCTAGTACCTAATAGGGGGAAATTAGTCAGAATTTAGACGCCACGGAGCAAATGATCTTACTATCACTTTGAAAAATCACTATTTGTGCGTTTCGCGATGAGCAATTGATCTTAGAAAGATATTCTCATCCAGCTCAAGGTTTAACAATGATCTCAGTACCATCAAAAAATATAAATACAATGTACCGTTTGCCATGGATAACATCATGAGATACCTTGAAGTTTGACCTTCATGTGGTATAATCGGCCGATGATGAGATCAATTACTCAGTGCTCAACCTTCAACATCATCCTCATTACCATCATTTTCAAGATCAATAAAAATTGCTAGCTTTGACAATGCAAGTTTAATAGCATGCCATTCGTTGCTGAAGATGCGTAAGCATGGTGAAGTTAATGGATCTCAGTAATTTGTGCCACTTTGCAACACCAAGGAGATTGATCTGAAGAGATCAGTTCCAACGTGAAGATCCATTATGAAAGAACTGGATGGCAACAAGGGAAGAGTATTGTGTTGGGTTTGATGGAACAAGGATCATAAGATATTGTCATTTAGACTATACTTCATATTGATCACAGTTGCCTCACAAAGTTGAGAAAGGTGTTGAAGGAAGGCTATGATACTCTGCATAGCCGTTGGAAGCCGCAAGTTTCTAAACACGCTCTAAATGATGACGATTTGCAAAACAAAATTGAAAAATATCAGATGAGGGAACTAGAGGATAGATTTTCTTGTGCACAATGTCAGCCAAGCTAGTATCTGGTTGAGCAAAATGTCACTTGAACTAAACTCTAGACGCATTATTTAAAAAAGATGAAGAACATGAATTGAAGGGTGATTAGTTTCAGTTCCTGGACCCAACAATGCGATCTTCATGCTCATATAGTGTGTTTAACAAAAGTTGCTGAGTATGTCTGTGATGCATGCGTTTGAATTGAAATTCTGTTGAATAGAGACAATCTCATCGATGTTGAGCGCGAACATTTACTTTTTGGAAAAGAAGATGCATCTATTCGTTGCTATTGATCAACGACGTTTGATGTAAAAGGTTGTGAAGTTTTATGTTGGCAGACATGCGCCATCACAATCAATGACGGAGACGATTATAATTGATTCGTATGAAGATCTACTTGATGATATGTCTATGATGATATAAGACTCCGCCTAAGTACAAGTTCAAATTGAAGATTTTGGTGGCAATTTTGAGCTTCCTTTTGATGAACATTCTTGTTCATTGGCGGATTACTTTAATTGTAATACAATGATGCAGAATTACATTATAGTCCACATCATCAACAATTTGAAAAACTTTATTATTTACAAGCAACGTGGTCAAGTAAAAGATGATGAGGCTTTATGCAGCCTTCGCCTTCTCTATCATCTTCGACTCCAACAGTAAGGACGTTCTTCAAAGATTTTGTTTCTAATACTAGATAACTTGATCTGACAAAACAAGTTTAAGATAGTATTCATGTTTTACATGTTGTTGATATTGCTATTCTATGACAATGTAGTTTTGTTGTATTTGATTCTCGGCCATTCGCACAATCTTGCTAATTGCATCGTCGCATGGTGCTGAAACAAGATGCGCATCATGAACTTGACCTTCCCGATGCAATTGTAACTAAGTTGAACAAAATCAATTCGGTGTCTTGCGAGTTCCTAAACCATTGATCTTTCAAATGACCGTTTTTTACGGACTAGACTACACTCTTATCAAAGTATTTCAAACCCAATTTTTTCTTTTAAATAGATCACGATGTTGTGTACATGCGTCATCTCATGACCACACTAGTGCACAAAATGAAGATGTTTCAACGATTTTTTCATCGAATATTGATTTGATTTGCATATGATCTATTTGGCATTGACGTGCAGACTATTGATGATTACACTTCAATTGACAATGTAAAGCTTCCTTGCGTTGAAGTGAAACATTGTGCAACAAGAAACTGAGTTCATTGGGTTTTAAGTACTTTTCTATTACTCCGAAGAAGCTTTCTTACTATTGGAACATTCCTATCGGTATCATCAATGACGTCGATTCTAAGAAAACAGATACGCGATCCAAATCTGCTTCAAAGAAAGCAAGCAAGGCAAAAGTTAAAGTCGAGGTCGTCAAATTTAAAAAATCAGGTCTTGGACGTACTATTAAGCCAATATTAGTTCCTCCTGATCATACATCAATCTTGATATTTCTTTTAATAAAAACTGAAGATGCGACTGAAACCTATGGATTAGATGGAGATGATTGGTGTTGTTTTGATGTCAATCACATGATTTTGGCTTATTGAAATATGTGGGATTCTTGGGTGACATTAATACTCGTCAAAAGGTTCATTTGTATAATGTTGTATCAATTTATATGCAACATGACATCTTAAGATGCTGTAAGGTTCAAGTTCCTAATCATCCATGTAGTTCATTCTTTATGAGGATTTTACATATATATTTTCTACGTTGTAGTATTCAATTACTTAATCTACACAAGGACAAAGTACAAAGTTTTGAAACTCAAGCTTTCTATACAAAATCAATTTACGTAAAGAGAAGTAAATCTATGTGCTAATATAAAGGCTCAATTGGTGAAACAATGTAATGCAAAAAATTAGCATATCAAAAAGACTTTCAAAATTCTCATATAATTTTCAAAGAAAATTAAACAAAATTTGACTTAACCTCACTGCATATTAATAAAAATGATCAGAAGCAGAAAAAAATGATGTATCAGGATCACTGAACAGTACGTGACATCGATGGATGTTAGTTGGCTAGTAGTATTTATATAACAAACGAGTAATAAGGGAAAGACTACCACGAGCACATGAGATTGAGATTGTGAGGACAATTAATGCTTGTTGGACAAAATGTCATGTGTACGCACGTTAGTGCAGTTGTAGATCGACGTTGAGTTCGAGTTTGAGTCGGGTGACGTTGGGAGTCGAATGCACGTTGAGACACGGGGAGCGTTGGGTTGGGACGACACTTTTCAGGGATATATTGGAGGCGAGCTCGAAGAACTGTCAATTCTTCGAGTTGAGTCTTTCGTGTAGAGATATGTCAGTTCCATTAGCTTTGACTCTATTCTCCCGAGAGTGGAGTGAGTTTGGATTGACTCTATATTTTTGTATTCTGAAGAGATTGAGAATTTGCACTCGGTTTCATTTATTACAATTTTTCAGTTGTGAAAATAGTGCTTTATCATTATTACTTATCCTATGAGGAAACATTTAGTGTAAATATGCTTTCTTTATATTCCTTGCCCATAATTATAGCGTGAAGTGGAGGTATGATGTGAAGTACGAGACAGCTTGGTGTGGATATCATTTTTTGCGACGGGATGAGCGAGATAGCGTTGCAGGCGCGAGAGGCCGAGGATGATAGGAGGCGATGGAGTTTGACTCGTGGTCACGATGCGAGGCGATGTCCCGTGTGTTGTGTTGTTCTGTGATGTGTTTCATTTAGGCTAGAGGGTCATTGCTAGCTCTTTGCTTGTGTTTGGATACTCTGCAGGCGCGAGAGGCCGAGGATGATAGGAGGCGATGGAGTTTGACTCGTGGTCACGATGCGAGGCGATGTCCCGTGTGTTGTGTTGTTCTGTGATGTGTTTCATTTAGGCTAGAGGGTCATTGCTAGCTCTTTGCTTGTGTTTGGATACTCTCCAGTCTTGCTTCTTGATGCGCGCCAGTGTATGGGTTGACGCTGATTTCCGGAGTAGTTTTACTCATGTGTGTTGTAGATAGTGCGGCTGGACTTGATCACCGGCCGGCCTATCTTTGTTTCTCTCCTGGTGAGACTAGAGTGATGATCAGTAGACCGTGGGAGTCTTCTTGTGGTGATGACATGTTAGGTTGCATATACCCATAGCTAATAGGGCTAGAGTAGGTTGGTGCGGGTACGAGGTCAGGTGGAGAGTTGGCAGTGGTGCCAGTTAGTCGTCACGGAGCAGTTCGGTGGTCCTGTCGAGGACCGTGGAGGATTTATGCGGAGTGGGTTGAGGTATTGGCTACCTCATCCTAGAGCAGAAGTGGTTGCAGAGGCGCGGGGTGTGGCAGATAGCGGATCTTTGATGGTGATATCGTCTAGTGTCTCACACTCGTTGACTGGAGACATGGATGGGGCCATGAAGTGTCCACGGTGGTACTATGGTGCAATGGGCACCATTGAGTTGGATGATTTCATCCAGGAGTTTGACACGTAGTGCGATATGCAGTTCTTGCTTCACCCCACGTTGTTTACACACTTCTTTGCATGGAAGGGGTTGTTTCAGCATCTGGAGGGGCCTCCCATGAATGACTATCATGAGTTTGGGAGAAAGTATGATGTAGAGATTGATGCATGGAGTCATCATTGGTTTCCAAATTACATGTCTATAACACAAGGTGATGTTGGTACCAATGGAGGTGCTAGTGGTAGTATCATCGAGGGTATCAGTGGAATAGCCGGGGCAGTTACCGGCAGCGGTGCCGTTAACATTGCCAATAGCAGCACGAGTGGAGAGATGATGTATGACTATACCTAGTAGCAAGAAAAGAAAAACTCACTCGTGGAGTCAACTACTACTTTTGAACCATATACATCTTATTTGTTAGAAAAAAATTTGAACGTCTTGAAAGAACTACGTACAAGCCATAATTTGCACCCGTCAAGTGATAAGATTTTCATTCTTTGAAAAAGTGTCTTTTATCATTCAAAAATGTGTTATAACGATATGTAACAAATTGAATAAGTGGACAGATACACCCTTCTGACTTGATTCGATGATGGAATGATGTACTAACGGTACAGTTGTTTCATTGAATATTTTTTAAGAAAGTACAGAACCACACTTATAAAGAAATGTCAGTCCATGTACTTTGCATCTACACTGGTATATACGTTCACAGCTAAAACTAAAAGTTTCAGAAAGACATGATTCCAAGCTAAAGAACTATACACAACATCGTAATACACTATTGCTCTATTATGAATAACGTGACAGGTGTCAATGCATGACCATATATTTTGACAAATGTTGTCAAGAGTAATAATGTACATCCAGCATGCACCAGTTTGTTTGGGGTATTAAGGTGCACGGTCAAAAATCCAACCGCCCCCCTGAACCTGGTTCGGTGGCACATGTGGCATCTATCGGTGGGCATGCTTTGACGAGCTCTTAGTGCTTCACCCGACCTCGCCCAACGCAGTTCCGAGGATCATTGCTTGCTTCGTTAGTGATAAATTCTTGAGTGGTGCAATTCCCTGTACCGCATCCGATGAGAAGATCGCGCCAGCCGAGGCCTAAACAAAAATTTCCATACGGGGCTATCAGCGGTCTAGGTGGCCAAATCGGGGCAGATTTAAGTCGATCTCTAGAAACTCCAGTCCAGCCGCTGAATTCGTTCGCAGCCCCCAGCATGCATCTCTGTTCGATAGTTCGTGTCATGAACCATCAACAAACGCCGTAAGAACTGGCAGCGGAGTTCGAAATTGAAGTTCTATAGTTCACATACTGCGGACCGAAGAGGCCATATGCGCACGGCGTCGGGAATTGGCTTCAAAGTTTAACACCTTTTGACTCGAACTGCAGTAAGAGAAGGAACAATAATCTGCATGGATGCAAGCGGACTTGATTATGATGAGTTCATTTGGACACACAGTATGGCTACGTAAATCATGATCATGGGCTCTTGCTTGCTTATAAAGTTCTTCCAAAACCCAAGGAACTTGACGGTGGAATTCTCAAAAACGTCGAAAAGTCAAATTCTGCCAGAAAATTTCCCCCGGTCCGAGGCTATGAGAACTCCCAGGGCGTACGTACGACCCACGGCCAGAACTGGCGTGGCTGTTTTTGTTGGTGTTGCCGGTACGGATGGGGGAGGAAGAAGCATTGTCGAGCGTCTAGGGACCTAGCTAACCTCAAGGAGGATGCTGTTCCCTTCTCGTGATCAGCAACCATTCCTTGGCTCGTAACTTTGGACAGCGACTGTACAGATGAGGTTGCAACTCTTTGCGAAGAGTTGCAAGGGCTAAGGGAGTGGCATCTTCATTGTAGGGAGGGAGATTTGTAGAAGAAGAGGAGCGCAGCCGATCGAAGAGACCAGCGCCGCCAGGATAGGATATATATCTCGCTCGGAGACGCGTGATGCTCGAGGGGTGTGCAGATTGAGATGCAAGCGAGTTTCTGGACGACTCGCGTGGAGCTGTAGTCGTCCGGACTCCTAAACATAATCCTACGCAGACGTTGACCTGTACCGTGACAGGACTCGACATCCGATGAAACCCGGAGATCAGTTGTGATAATGGCGCAGTTCTCCGGTCTCGGAAGCAGGGAATTTCTCGCGCGCCGCCTTGCCAAGTGGGTTTCGAGGTGGTGGGGCCTGGCTACCAGATCGCAACAGCTCCGTCGAGGACTGTACCGTCGCTCCTTGACAATGGGCTCAATTTATGGGAGCCGTCACCAGTTCATTAAAGTCCATTAAGGCGTGCATGGGAACGAGCGAGGTACGGTCGATCGTTCTTCGCTGATGGGCCGCTGGAATATCTACGTCCAGAGCCCAGACATTTCGCAGAAGAATGTCGCGGCCTGACGATCGTAGATCCATACGAGGCCCTCGAATGTAGTTCGTGTAGCGACTCGTATCCGGTCGCGTTGATGTCTCCTTGTGCCTGCCCAGTCCTCTAGAATCCTTTCGCGTCGTGGATAGAGTCGCTCGAGCGGCAGTCATCGAGGAATTCGAGCGTGCTGCTCTCTCAGGAAGGGATATCTTATCGAGCACCCGGCGGGCGGGATTGGGATCGGTCCGAGGAGCATTGTGCGGAAGATGGCAGGAGGGACAGGGTCCGGGGTCAAGAAAAGAAGGCTGAAGAAAAGAGGATGGACGGATCCGAATGCCGCACTGGAGCTGAGGGATGCGGGCCTCAAGTGCGCCCGCAGCGTGTTCAAGTGCCAGCGAGAGGTCTCGTTATCGAAAGGCAGTATCGCCGACGCCCCGTCGAAGGGCCAGCACAACATTTTGAGGCTGAAGAAGTTGGGGCTGATCAAGTTCCTGCAGGACGCCTGGCAATGGCAGCAAGGCGACTACTGCGAGGACTTCGCCAGGAACTACGACCCCGCCATGAAGAGAACGGAGGTTCGCGGCGGCATCGTGGTGGATCTGAGTCTGGAAGGCTTCGTGCGGTTGACGGGCTTGAGCGAGGGCGATGTGGTGGCGCCGATAGATGCTCACCTGAAGAACTTCTCATGTGAGCACTACTTCCCCGCTTACTCCATAGTTCCGAAAAAGAACGAAAGAGTGTACGATATGAGGCTCTGTAAGGAGAAAGAAATGCAGAGTCTGGTCAGTCTGCTGGTCAGGACAGTGTGGCTCAGAAGGCAATGTACCCATGCTCCCGCGAGTCTCATGTATCTGATGTGTGAAGCAGAGGCAGGAGTGAAGGTCAGCTGGGGCAGAGTGTTGTACACCGTCTTCATCAACGAGGTCAATCGCATGCACAGCCTTCTGTCGATGAACAAGAAGACCACCACTTGCGCCGGACCGCTCATGTGCTACCTGACGGCTCGAAGCGCATGCGAGCAACAGATTGCGCTCGCCATCCCGCCCCCGGCCGCATTCGACGAGAGTGAGCCCGAGTCCGACCGAGGCGCAGGGCCGAGGAGGAGGAGGAGGAAGCGCCGGAAGCGGCGTGCTTCGGAGCACTACACTTCCGACGAGGACGAGGGCGAGGACGGCGACGGCGACGAGGACGAGGACGAGGACGAGGAGGGCGGAGTCGAGGAGGACCACTGCGGCAGCGATGGCGACGCGGGTCGCAAGAAGGCGTCGACGGAAAGCGCTCAGCCGCGGACGCCGTTGCGTCCGCCGTGGCACAGAAGCGCTTTGCATCCGAAGGCGGCCAGGGCGTCTCCTCCCGCTCCCGCCCCCGCCCCCGCACGGGCGACGCCGCCGGGGCGTAGCGGGAGATCGGCGGACAAGGTGTCGACTCCACCGGCAGACGTCTCGCGCGTCAAGCTCTTCCGGTCGGCGATGACGGAGAAGAGAGCGGACCTGCACAAGAAACTGAACGACCTTCTGAAGGACTCGTTGGAGCAGGACGATGTTTACACGGAGATGTTGGGCGAATGGGAGGTCACGCTGAAGGAGCTGGAGGCTTGGCGGGCGGTCGGGCTCGCTTCCGGCGCCGCAAACCCGGCGGACCTGCAGGCCAGCCTTTCGCAGCCCGCATGCCGTGCGCAAGTGGAGGAGTTGCGGCGGTTCCAGCAGCTCGGCCAGGAGCTGCTGTGCGCGGGCGATTTCGGCGAGATGGCCGCGGCCCTCCGCCACCGCCTCAACTGCGAAGAGCAGGCCACCAAATTGTACAAAGAGGAGCAGCAGTACGCAGCGCAGTGCCTGAAGGCGCAGCTGCACGCCGAGAGCGTGGCCGAGGCTGCCACCCTCGAGATCAAAGCTTTGCGAGCCGAGGTCCAAGAACTGAAAGCTCGAGGGTATGGCAACGCCGTGACGGAGCAGTTTCCCAAAGAGCAGATCGACAAGCTTCGAGCCCGGCTGGAAGAAGCTATTCTCCAGAAAGAGGTTCTCGTAGCCGAGCGAGACAAGCTTCTCGAGGACTTGAGAGTCCCTCGGCCGTTGTCCATGGTTTCCCATCCCCGGGCGTTTGTGGTCTCCCCTACCTTATTGCTCCCCTCCAATTTCCGGGTCAAAGAAGAATATATTCAGACTCGTCATTCCGCTTGAGCGCGCCAACGAGCAGCGTGTGGCAGCTATTTTTGCCTCCAGAGCTGTTGCTTTGGATGTTGTGCAGTCGCTGCCATATCGTCCATTTTATTGTTGTGAACTGCCGGGTTAGGGCGAATTTTCTGCTTTTTGACAATCATGTTAGAATTTAAGATTTCGGCATTGATAATAGTGGTGTTCTATCAGAGAAACAAGCGTCAATCGTCGATGTTATGTCCTACATCGCGTCGTATGAACTGTACAGTCAGTCATTCAGTCAACTGTGGTCATGGTCGGCACCCTTGTGTGATATTCTAAATTCTCTCGAGATTTTCCCGGAACTTACCGAGTAAAAGCAAATAAGTCAAGGCTGTAATCTTCACGCTGTTCATGTACATGGCAACTGATCCAGCTGGTATTGAAAGTTTGAGAAATGTTGTCCACTTTCGCATGTTCGCATTCATTTTGCTACCTCGAGGACTAAGAGACTCAACTTTTTCTCGGTGAAGTGGGAAATAAGATCACGAAGCAAGTAGTAGCTACGCAACGCAAAATAGGCGTGTAAGTTCTACTGGTTTCATATTATTTCAATACAACGGATATAGACGAAGGAGGTGTATGTGAACTTGTCAGTGTGACTATTGTACTTATTGCGTAAACATTTATGACTATATGTGGACGTCTTTTTCTTTCTGTTTGTGAACAGAGTCAGAGTGAAGGCCGTCAACACATTAGATGTAGATTCAGAAGTTGGGAGCCTTGACAGTTGAGGCCTATACCCTACAGGGTCAAGATTTCATGTTCTGCACTGAAGTTGACCTAGTCCAGAATCGACTCAACGTACGACATGCTAGCAGAATCTCGTTACGATGTGACTGTTGCTGATATCATTGCGATTGAACCTCAAGCTTGAGCCGACATCAAAAATCCAATCTCAGTATGTAAAGCGAAGGTTTCCAACTCGTGCTTATCGTCAACACTGTGGACACAATTCGTACAAGCACATGTTGATGGAGGGCCCGGAGTGGAGTTGATCAAGCCTGGGAACAGAAGTTAGTGTGAAGCACCCAACAAACTAGAGGGGTACGAATATGTGAACTACTTATCTGTGTCTTGATGTACGTGGTGCTGCACGTGTGTTCAATAGGAAATAAAACCTCGCCACATCTTTACCATCCTCTATGATCAATTCTTCACAAGCGATGCGTGTAGTGGAATGAAGCAGGTAGAAAGCATATGCCCAAAGAAGGTCACAGACAAGTCGTTGCATATCTTGGCACGTCGTGCACCGAATAACAAACAATCCGGGCGGGCAGTGACTGTAGTTCCAGAGAGAAATGTACAGCTGCCTTGACTCGGCAAGATGTAGAGCAAATAATTGACAAACGATGTCAAAGATAGAAAACTAGACTACCTAAACCGTGTAAGACGAAGAGATTGCTATAGCTGTGAGAAAATGTTTCTTTATTCGAGCTCCTTCGTCATGTGAAGACGAGACGAGTTGAGCCAGTAAAAAACTCCGCTTCTTCCTACGCACAACGAACTCAAGTCGACTCTCAAATACTGCACGCACACAGGATACTTCTCTAGAGCTGCAGGTGGGTTGGATGGTGAACGAATCACTTATTCGTCATGGGAACAAACACATTGGTGGCACCAAGCTTCGTACTACGCATGATATACTAGATAGCCTGTTCAAGATGGACTTCACGCCGACCTGCTCAACAAAGAAGAGTATTAACCATCGACAATCATGGTCTGACTCGGCAACCATGATCAGGCGAACCTCACATCCGGGTCCTGAAAAAAAATTGCTTATAAATAATAGTTCTCTGCGAAGGCTTTAAAAGTACACTCCCTCTCCCACCTGCGTCATGGAGAAAGTACAAATTAGAACATCGAGGAAAGTTTTTATGTACATGCGTACGAGTTGTTTTGAAGCTTCGTACTATCTGTTACTCAAACCCAAACAAAGCATCAGATTTCATAAAACTTCATCGTTGACTTTTTTCACAGGAAATACAAAATCTAGCGAACTTCTGTCACTGCATGGACTACTACGAGTCAAGAAGTCGCACTTTCGCTGACTTGAGATCCACTTTCTACTGGACGAAAGAACAGAGAAAGGCAAGAGCCAGAGAGGATAATGACTTACATGGACCGATAACGAGAATCGCGTCGCTGTCTTGAAGCTCGTAGAATTCGATTACTAGGTATCGACTGGGCTGAACGTAACTCTCGAGTGTGGAAACGAGTGGAACGATAATGCATCTAACCTACTCCTTTCAGATAGACCACACGGTTAAGTGTATCAAACTTCGTCTTTAATGCCCATCTCCTTTTCAAAGTCCAGCCTATAAGTACATAATGGAGCCACAAAATCGTGGCCAGCCGGCATATAGCCGGCAATGCTATGCTCGAGTCCTAAAATGTTACAATAACTAGATTTTCCTCCCTGCTCATGCGTTATCTTGTTTGCATGCCGTTTCCACGCCCCCTTTGCACCACTCTGAGACAAAGCCACGAGATATTAGTTAGTCCTCTGATATTAAGGCTACCGAGAGGGTTGCACTGCAAACTTTGCTGACAGTATAACAAATACTGAATACAAGATCGTCGATGTTCAATCGGTGAATCATGAGAAGGGTGTCACGAACGTCAGGAGCGTTCGAAGATTTAAAAATATATAGATGTGAAATACTGAACCAGTTCACGACAGCCGACGATGGAGACGAAGGCGAGAGTGAGCACAAGGATAGAACACGGTGAAGGATGCGAAAGGTGTTGTTCGAGTGGTGCTCGATTGACTGCACCAACCGATAAAATGAGCACCAGCACTGCGGGCATCGAAGAGTCATACAAACCCTATGCATACAAATAAAGAGACTAGCAATATCCATAGGACGCCTGTTCGACCTGAGACATAGGAAAGAGGAGAGGCAGGAAGAGTGAACATACGAAGGTGCGAGTGGTCCGAGTCCTCTAAGTTCTTCTCCAGTCGCTTCGTTAACAACTCTCCCGCCAATGTCAATCCGGTACGTCCTCCCTGGAATGCTGGGAAGTCCACGTCTAGCGAGTATCTCCAGGTCTCTCGAGTGCAGCTCCCTGCCATTGACTAAGATGTTGGTTGTACCACCGGCACAATTCCTCGACATAGGATGCTGAAACTCCTCGATTTGAGCCTGCACATTCACACGCACGAGCACAAGTCCATTCAAGACGGCTTCATCCTGCATTGCTCTTTTGGGTGGTGGAGGACCATGAGAAAACTTGCGTCACTGGACACCGGCAGGCCTTCACTTACGGGAATGATGCCCTCGCACTGTCCTCCTGCAACGCCCCAGAATCCAGCCAGCGCATCGTACCTGAGAAATGGTTAAACGTTAGCACAATCGAACGGAGGCTGGCAGCGTCGGTCTAACGAGTGGCACTACATTCGACATGGTCCCTCTGTCACTAAACCCGACACGTTTCGAAGATGTCCGAGCATGTGTCGTCGGAGGTGCTTACCAGTAGTTGCCAGGACTGATGTGTCCGGCCTGCTCTTCAGCCTTCTTGATCACATGTTCGGGTATGGCTTCGCCGTTGACAGTGACTCTGCTCCGAGAATGATTGGCACTGGCACCCCTGCCCTTGTGAGTGAGCTCCCGGAGGTGCTCCTTGAAGGTGCTGAAGCCTTTGAAACCTTTGAAACCCTTGGGCTGCTCATGCGCTTGCTGCTCTTTGGCCGAATGCTCGCCGATGCCATGGCCCGACGGAGAGGTCCTGGGATCGAACATGGGCGGAGACTGCGGATGCGCGGGAGGGGGAGGAGACCTGGAGTTGCTGTGAGTGTGGCGGTGGCCCCCTTCCATCGACATCGACGGCGAGCCGATGTGGGCCAAATTCCGATGGCCCGACTCGTTCTCGTCGTCGCTGCTCGTCCCAACGCTCCCCTCGTGATAGGGAACTCGTGGCGCCGGGCCTTTGAGATCCGCAAAACGAGACCGTTCCTCTGTTTGATGTCTGCCCCCGGAGCCCGAGTGCTCCAACGAGGTTCGCTTAGGGTACAGAGGTCCCGGGGAACGACCGAATCGCGACTTGTAATCAGGGTTCGAGGGCGACACCTCGGAGTAGCTCGACGGCGTGCCAGCGTCCGAGCTCGTGGAGACGACGACGGGACTGGAATCGATCTTCAACCCCCGGACCCTCTCCGCCAGCTCCTCGTCCGACGGCATATCGGCGCTGCCGATCGAGTTGTTTCTCGTGATGGGCAGACTCTTGTCGGAGAGGTCCGAAAACCTGCGCCCGCTTCTCCTCAAATCGTCCGAGGTCGCACTGAGAGATCTGCCGGACGTCGTCCGGTACCCCGCCTCCATCTGCGCATCGGGACTGGACGCGAACAGAGACTGTCCGAAGTGCAGAACCTCGGGCCTGGCCGCGGCCTGGGTGGAATCCACCGCCTGAGGCACGGCGAATGTGGAAATCTTCATGCACGCCCCGCATCGGAGCTTCTGCGTACTTTTTTTGGGAGGGGGGAGGTTCACCGGCACGGCGAGGATGGTGTGACAATGCTGGCACTCGACGTGAGGCAGAGCGCCCGGCAGAGGCAGCGGCGGGTAAGTGCCCTCGCGTTTGGGCGGAAGCGAATCCGGCATTTGTCTCGAGGCCTGATTCGGTGCCTGCGGCGCGAACTGTGAAGGAGGCAGAGGATTGGATTCGCCAGGGTACGATGACAAATTCGAGCCCGATTGCGACCACTGCCCGTGAGTGGGTGGGCGAGGACTGCTCACCCCTCCGCCTCCCCCTCCAGAAGCACCGGGAGAAGAGGCGGACGCATTAGACCGGGGCAACGACGACTGGGGCTTGAGGCGGGCAACCCACTGATGATGATTCTGCTGCTGCTGCTGCTGCTGCTGCTGTTGGGTCTGGGAGGCATCGACTTGCTGAGTCTGGAGGAACACGGCTCCCGGATCGGAAGAACCCCTGCTGTGAAGATGCTCGATCTCCTTGACCATGCTCACATAATCATCACTGGAGGACTTGCGCAAGCTCGCTGAGGTTTCAGATGCAGGCACGGGAGAGCCGAGGTTGCTGCTGCTGCTTGCCGCGCCCATGCGAGTGGCGTCCCAACTGTGCTGCCTCCGATTCAGGCGGTTGACCTTGTCAGCGTGGGGATGTGCGGTGTCCATGCTGTCAAGCTCTGTCGGCATTTTAGTGGCGTGGGGATTCCCGTCCTCGGAATAGCTCGGAGGTCGGGACCTCGGCAGATTGGGACGCGACTGGGACCTGGGAGCGCCCCCGCGAATATCCGGCAGCTGCAGCGGGGGCGGCGGGGAAAAGCGGCCCATGCTGGCATCGTTGCCGTCCCCATCGTCCATGGTCGATGACGTCTCGCTGGCCTCGTAGGCGGAATTCTCGTACATGTCGAAATTCTTTTCCGACCCGTCGGATTGTGTGCGTTGAATAAACTGCTGATCCAAGGCCTCTTTGCTGCGCCTGCGGCTGCTCAACTCCCTCCAGTTCCTCTCCGCGACGTACTCCACCGACGTCGTTTCCTTCACCCGATCTTCGTGCGCGATGGCCGACGAGATTCGATCGTCCTCAAATTTGCCCCTGCTGCCGCTGCCGCTGCCGCCGATCACCACGTCGGCGGCCTTGGGCGAGGGAACCGCATTCTCCACGGGCTCGGGCCGCGGTTGCCACTTCAGCTTCGACGCGCGCCCGGACGACGACCGCGACGACGACGACGATTCCCCTGCACCGCCCCCGGACTTGAGACTCTGAGAATTGAGCAGGCCCTGCTCGGCGCCCGAGAGCTGCCGCTGCAGCTGGTCCAAGGCCTGGCCCGAGTGCTGCCGCTGCAGCTGATCCAAGGCCGCGCCCGAGAGCTGCCTCTGCAGCTCGGCCGCGGCCCCGGACGGCTGCCGGGGCAGCGACAGCATTTCGCCTCCCGCTCCACCTGCGGCCATGATGGAATTGGCACCCGCCGGAGGCCGGGCAGCGTCGGGCTCGGCATCGGCCCGTCCGCCGTTTAACCTAGACGCGGGGTGGATCCTGGGAGCCTGCGTCGCAGGATGGCGAGGCAGATTGAAGCCCGAGCTGCCGTAGGCCGGGGCCGGTTCCTGCGGGCTCGGGGCCGACGACCTCGGCTCGCGGCGCCTGCTGATGTAATCGGCCCCGGAGGCGCTCTCGTTCGCGAGCAGAGTCATGTCCACCTCCGAGCTGCTCATCGAGACCATGTAATTCACAATCTGCTGCGAGGGCTGCGGGTGCTTCGAGGCCATTGCGCTGTACCCTGCTCGCGCTGCTGCTGCGGCTGCTCCGCCCTGCTGCTGATCGGGCTGCTGCTTCTCGGCCGAGGTGTGCCTGGCATTGTCCGCCGAGAGGCGGAAGTGCTCGGGCGCTGGCGGAGCGGCTGCGGCTGGCCCGCCTCGGGCCCGGGCGTACGACGCAGTGGCGTCCTTGCGGATAGGTGACCACGAGCGGTGCCCATCGGCCCCCGCGTAAGCGAAATCATCCCCGACCCGCTCACTTATTTCCCCGGACGACGAGTCTGACTTCGAGCTCCTGCTGTTCGACTTGTCGACCGGGTGGAATCGCAGATTCGTTGACTCCAAATCTGCCTTTGTGGCATGCTTAGCTGTTCATGGGCAACGACACAATCGAATCATGTGATCAGCATCGGCCACGTGGGTCGTTGAACGAGCGAGCCCCAGTCTGAGTCAGTCGAGTCACTCTGCTAGCAGTCGTCGCAGTGTTAGTAGTAGTACTACGGCAGCCGCCGTTGCCCCAGACACACATACACTGTGCATGAGCCCTTCGTGCCCGGGTGGCGGGCTGGCGGGCGAGCTGGATGGTTAGAAAGTACTTCGAGCCAGCATTTGCAGATGCTCTCGTCCATGTGCGAGCAAAGCAGGCTCAGGCAAGGCTACGAAGGCGAAGGCGAAGGCGAATGCGAAGAAGAACGACGACGGGACAAAGAACGTGATTTCCTGTTGGTTGGTTCTGCTGCAGGGACTGCTGCTCAGACTCCTCCTGACAAGTCTTGCCCAGATTAGATTCACATACGACGACGACGACGACTGGTGTGGGAGGTGAGGCGAGTGAGGAGTGGGGTGAGGGAGTGAGGGAGTGAGGGAGTGATGGAGGGACGGAGGGAGCCACTGACCTTGAAGAGTTGTGGAGCAACTCCCGCATTGGTAGTAAGGATTGCCCGGAGGCGGCTCTTGGAGCAGAACTCGGCATTTCGGGCACTGGACAATCCTTGACATCGCAGCGCCCGGCTTCTGCTCGACTTTGGTGACGCTGTCCTTCTGTCTCATGCTCTCCACTCCCTGGGAACACAGCAAGCGAGCATCAATCATCGGCCTCTCACGTTCGGCACCATGGTCGCCCGAGGCCCCGAAATAATGGAGTCGTGACGGACAATTGGTCCGGAATCTACCGGATCCACATACGAATCATCATTCGACGACTTCACAGGGTGATCACACACAAGGGCACAATGTTGTCATTGCGGCCATTTTATTCCATCCCATTCCAGTCTATTGCCACAGGACAGTCGGACCGACTGCGTGAGCCACTCCTATGCCTGCTTCGCTCCCCAAGCTTGCGTCGCTCAATCTCCTGCCCGTTCCATGCAGCAATCACAACGATGCAAATACGGGCAATGACGAGAATCGCATTCCACGGGATCCGTAGCAGCGCACCTTACCATTCCTCGAGCGTCACATCCGAAAAGCAAACCATCCCCACGTCCCCCTCCTCTCCAAGACAGCACGTCGACGAATAAGTCTTCCTCGGGATGAAATTCACGATTCCATGGTTTGTCGCAACGGAAACAATCGCTCGCTCGATCGATCCCCACCAACCAACCCACCCACACCGGCAGCAGCAATGAATACAACACTCTGATATACTAACGTACCTAGCTATCTAACTATCTATCTACCTCCTCTCTCTGGCTCTCTGTGCGATGCTCGAGTGCTCACTTGCTCAGTCACGGTCGATATGCCTCTGCTGCCAAGCCAGTCACTTCGTCATCCTCGAGACCATGATCATCTTCATCGCAAGCCTTCGCACCCGCTCCGCCAAAACGATCGATTCGGCAAAACCGAGGTGCTAGAGGCCAACCTGCGCTCGATCGGACTCCGCGCACAAGTTTGAGCCATAGAATGTCGAAATTCCAATATCTGTCTTCCGCGCCCGACTCCTCCTCTCGATTCACTCCTCCTCTTGCCGCAGATTTGGTTCTGTATCTCATGCGTCTCGGGGTTTGCTGCCGAGCCCCTCGCTCCACTCTTTCTCTCCTCCTCCTTGCCCTCTTCTCTCTCTCTCTCTCTCTCTCTCCCCTCACGTTGCTCGCCCGGGACGTTCTTCTACCATGGGACGGGACGGACGTGCCCCGTCCACCCGGTGACCGGGAGCCAGGGACAGTGAGTGTCAGGAACAGGGTACGGCACACTCCACTATTGTCGTACACTCCCACTGCATCTAATCCATCCGTCGTCGCATCGACGGTCGCCGGTCGCCGGTCTAGTGCGATTTTCTGTGGAAGACTGAACACCGACGAAGCCAGTGAAGCGAGAGGAGAAAGAGAACGACCCAAGTCAACCTGCGTACGCAACACCATACTTCCTGCTGCCCCGCCAGGCCGTGCGAGCTAATTAGAACATATTAGAAAGAATTCCTCGCGTCACCTGGAACCGGGATCGTCACTGAGCCGAGTGGCAATACCGAGCAGGGAGCACGGTAGAGCGACGGAGCCGATTGCGATGGTGAATCCGTGTTTCCCTTTTTGACTCCCGAGTGAGCGGAGTATAAGAACTTTCTCTCCCCAGGGTATCACCCGCGCACGAAACCGGCAACTGCCACCCGAGCGTTGGAGAATGGCTAGTTTAACTCCAGGGTCGTAACAGGGTTATGAGGAATATATACGGAACTAATATGAAGACTCCTCTTAGCCCTTAGCCCTTAGCCCTGACTCCTCCTTCTCTTCTTCTTCACCTCGGATGGAAGGTTTGTAGTAATTGCGTGCTTTCTTTGCCTGGCCTTTTGCATATTTCAGACACGTGGCCTCTTTTGTAAGTTACTAGAAGTATTTACTCTCTGTCTCGTAATTACTTGAGGCAGTCGAATTTATGTTTGTGCCCAAATGCCCTCCTCTACCATTTGTACGATGTAGATCTTTTCTTCCTTGGACGGGCAGGATGCATTAATGCCTCTAAGTCATGATTGACTTTGTCCAGGATAAACTTGGCACTGCACTTTTCACTTTAGGACCCTGAAACTCTTCCGTCGCAGCCAGGCCTTTAGAACATGTGTCTGAATTCTCGTACATACCTTATTAGATACTACTAATGTAGCTCAAGCACATTTTCAGATGATTGATAGATCGCCTCGATTCGTTAACATGACACGATTGTTTCCGTTCGGAGACCGTGCTCAGGGGTTGTTTACTGTTCTTGCCTATGGGTGATGGTTTGTCCATGATTTTCATGATAGGTGCTCGGGGTCGTATAACCCAATCAGCATCTTGCGCCTTCCTATCAATGGTCTGTATGACGTCAACGACAAGCACGACAGGCGGTTCGGCACTGTGAATTCATGAGGTTATCCACAAAATAGGGTGTTAAGATACACACAGATCAGTCCCTTCCGGAGTGGTGTGTTGCGATTCCTTCCCCTTCACGACTGAAGTGATGAGCGGTTGATTCATTTGCACTTTGTCCTTGTTATGCATGTTGCTCCGGAAATGATTTATTCCACCTTGTTGTGGGGCAAAAAACCAGGTACAGAACTTACGATTGGGTTTACGCTACCTCGTGATATTTCTAAACTGCAGTATTATCTTGTCGTACGCTCTAATAGCAACGATAAAATCCTATGGTGTTGATTCAGATGGACGAAGACACTCATCTTTTGTGAGATAGGTGTAGAATGGACCTTTTGTATGTGCAACAAGTCCTCTAGATCCATCCAATTTTTCTAATGTTGTCTGAATCATTCATATATTACCACTGAAAGGCTCTTTAGAAGACTAATTAAAATGCAGTAATGACGTGAGTAGCCCAATTTTTATTTTCGATTATCATATTTTAATGGACACAGTATAGAGACAGTAATGCAGGTCAGATCAACAGGATTTGAGTTCCTGATGCTGACACCAAGAACTCCAATAACTGGCGGAACCTCATAATCAGTTATGCAAAATTGTCAACAAGAAGAAGGTATGCACAGTTCGACGAAGCACAGCATAATGCAATCAGGAATATCTGGTATAAGACGCACTCAAGAGCACAGCACGAGCAATCTGTTGACCGAAATACGAGACATGTGGATCTCGTCGTCAATAAAGACAACACAGTGCCTAGCCACTGATGAGAATTTGACCACACATCCATTGCAATAGATAACACAGATCACATTTCCTCTATGCAAGACGGATGTGCCTAACATGAGTCGGTTTCAGTTGAAGAAAAAACAGTAAAAATCAACACCACCAACAACATCATCAAGTAGATACATCGGGGAGTGCCTCTTACGACATAACTGAACAACTCAGTGGCTCATGAAACCTGACATCTACAGGACGCCACTGAGCACATCACACCTGTAACTATTTGTCACCTCGTTCGATCTCTCGTGCAATGAGAAGGACGGGAGGTGGCGTTTCATTCGAATTTGACCGAAACACAGATGCAGGAAACAAAAACAATGATTCCGCAGCAAGACTGGGAACCGATGACGACTACTACCGGTAGTGGCCCGACTATCAAATCAAGGCAGCTGGGCTACTGTATTGTGGATTCCGTAGTTTGTCTGGTGAGTCGGGTGAGTTGCAGCGACAATCGACATGGCCAGGCTTTACCCGGAGCCAAATCTAGGGGAGGCTTTTGGAGTTGAGCTTTGCTCGATACTTATCATCAGTTTGCTCGATACTTATCATCAGGACAGGGTCCGGACAAAGAGAAAGAGAGTGGGGGGGGGGGGGGGGGGGGGGGGGGGACGGAGGGAGGGGGAGAGAGAGAGAGAGAGTTAAGTGAGGAGGAGAGATCCACGGTGGGCCCCACCGGCCCGCTTGCATCCGTGAGGCGGACGGACGGACAGACGGACAGGCTGTGGAAGGTACGAAAGGTCAACAGGTGCCCGGCGGGAAATATCGGGTTGCCCGAAGAGGATAAGTTACGAAAGGATGAGAAAACGGTCGAGGGCTGCGGTGGCAGCAGCAGCGCCAGCGCTGTGAGTGGGCAGGGCAGGGCAGCGGATGCGGGGCCGAAGCCAACTGCGGTCGACCGGGGCCCGTCCCAAGGACTTTGGACAGTGGACCGGGTCGCCGGGGCAATGTGTGTCTCGCCAGGTCTCAAGCGATGCCAGGAGATCGATCCCATCCTCCTCCCCGCACGCCGTCCCCGTCCCCGTCCCTCCGCCCGCTGCGCCCGCCGCTCTGTATTGCAAGGAAAGGAAAGCAAAGCAAAGGAAAGGGTGACTTGCAATTTGCAAGGAACACAAAAAGACGAAAAGGAGGGAAGTAAATCCACACACACGCACACACACAAACTGTCAGAGAGATTGGTCTGGTCAGAAGCAGTCAGGTCCCGTAAAGGTAACAACGACAAGACAAGGCCAGAGGAAAAGAGGGAAAGCAAATACGTAGTAAGGTAGCTCGGCTCAGCTCGGGGCTCGGGGTTGAGTGAGAGGCAAGAGAATGAGGGAGGGTCCAGGTCGAGCGTAGAGGGTGGAGGGAACGGAATGTTCAGATAAAGTTTCCCGGCTCTCCTCGTCCTCCCGAGCTTTATGTCATGTGGAGGAAACGGGATTGGGGTAAACTCCAGATACACCTTCCTGGTTCGCTGAACCATGCACAGCTTTAAGTTGGGTAGATGTGACGGGCCGGGCAAACTTCCAGATACAGCTTCATGGTTCTCTAAATAGTCCAGAGCTTTAATGTGGCTCGCTCTCGCTCGGACAAGCTTTCCACCACGTGAAAGTGTTGTTCAAAGGAAGACATAGTGCGAAGTCGAGCATGTCCAGAGAGTAGTGCCAGCAGATATAGAGGCACTGGCTGGCTAGTTTTGACACGCCATGATGAGGGCGGGAGGAGGAGGAGGCGGAGGAGTTCCTCAAGCAAAGGGCGGGCTGGGGGCAGTGGGCCAGCCTTGCCTTCCGAATTTGGTGTGGTGCTTCCAGGCCTTGCGTTTCTGCCGGTAGTTCAGACAGGGAGGGACGGACGGGCTCGGGACTCGGGACTCGACGGGAAATAATATTATTATATACACATCTTCGCTCCGCTGGAAGCTTGGAATGAGATGTGCCCTGCGCCACCCTTCCCGTGGACATCCGATCCGAAGCAGAGGGCCGAGAGGTGGTCATCATGGCTTCCTTGGGAAGCAGAATCCCAAGAATCTGCCTGGTTTGCTCCATCGGTTTCTTTTACACGGAAATTCGTCGGCATGCGGTACAACTTTGGACTTGCGCAGGTCAGTGATGACCATCTGAATCGAGATCGAATGAATGACGAGAGATTGGAAAAAACACACAAGTACAGACTCCAGAGCGAACGCCAAGGCAGTCGCGAGTCGCGAGAGAGAGGTGAACGCGAGCGGGAGAGCGGGGCCGGGTGGTTAGTTCCTGACCGCTTGTCCCGTTGTCCCAGCCGATCCCCACCGATCACAGAAGGACATGTGACTGGAAAGATACGGCATACACGTGCTTGATGTAAGCTCCAGCTGGGCTCGATCGGCGTTGCGCTGGGTGGAAGTGGCCTGATCTGGTGGAGCTACGCTCGCTGCGATGGCTCTCGGCTTGGCCTGGCCTGGCCTGGGACCTGTTGGCTGCCTTCCTGCCTTCCTGCCTACTCGAGTTCTCTTTCTCTTTCTCTTTCGCTTTTGGATGCGCATCGGTCCACGGTCGATAAATGGATGGCGCCGTCACGTACCGTGCTTTGTAAGCAGTTCTGAAGCGAATACTATCGCTCCCTGCGGTACAGTCCTCGGTCTATGACTGCTGCGTACCCCTGCTCCCTAGCGCCTACCGCCATGTCCTGTTCTTGCATCACTCACTCACTCATTCAGTCATATGCGCGCGAGGCGGTAACTTCCAGGGCCGGCGATGCCGGCTGGCGGGTTGGCTGGCTTCGCAGGACAATTAATATGTCATCGTGGATGAGGCAAATCCGATGCCGCTGCCGCTGCGGCTCTGCTCCCTGAACGAGCGAGCGACGGAACGCTCGCTCGTTCACGAGAACATTCATGCTGGCGCTCTGATAACTTCCAGTCGATCGGGAGTGGTGGGAGGAGGAGGAGGGAGTGAGAGAGAAGTGAGATGAGGAGGAGGGCAAGTCAAGTGATCGAG